GTGATAACTGCTGGCCCAACTTCCAATCGAGTAATCTCTATCGTGTGGCTCATGTGGGGCATGGACAGGTGCATAGTAGGTGTCGCTTGTGAGTTCGAAAAATTGTTTGAGCGATCTGGGATAGGGCATATTGATCGATGGCCTAGAGGTCATATCGGTCGATGCTCGTCGGAGGAAGGTCGGGATAGGAGGGTGTTCTGCATCTTCTCGAAGAAATCGGTACTCTATGGCTCGTTCTTCCTCATAATCTTCATTATACTCCTCCTGAGTAGTGATACTAGCTAGCTCGGGCATGTAATGATCGTTTTCCCACTCATCTATGCTGAGATCGACTTCTGAAAACTCGTCTTCGATTTTCTGGAACTCCTTATCAATCGATGACCATGTGGTTCTGTCGGTCGATGGTTCTGCACAGGTATCGGTCGATGGTGAAGGGTTGTCATCGGTCGATACTGATTCTTCGGTTTCATACTCTCCCATAGAATAATACTCGTGGGCACAAAAACAGGTGGCTACGAGTGTTGAGCTTGCTGACCTTGGAAACTTGATGACTGGAACATGGTTGTAGTGGATGGAAGGGTTGATAAGGGTTAGGAAGAGCTTGGTGGTTTGTAGGTCACAAACAGCTCCAACTGTGGCTCAGAAGGCTCTTCCTAGTACTAGAGAAGTCTTGAAGTTGAGCTTGTTGGAGAGGACATGGAAGTCTGTAGGAATTAGGGTTTCTCCAATCTGTACCTCAAGGTTGCGAACGATGCCTCCAGAGCTTTGCTGAGAACAATCCACAAAGATGAATGTTTCTTCAGAAGGCTCTACCTTCAGACCTAGATGGTCTGCCATAAGCTTGGGTAAGATGCTAACTCCAGATCCTGTGTCACATAGGGCACGGGGGAACTCAAAACCTCTGATGGAACAAGGTATTGTGAACTTCCCTGGATCACTCTTCTTCTCCAGTGTTATCTTCTACTTTAGACTATCTCTGACTTGGTCTCCTTGGTTTCTCTGAAGAACATCCACAATCTGTGTGAAAATAGGCTTCTTCAAAAGGTTTCTCTTTACGTATTCTGAGGACTCTTTTTCTGAAGCTTGACAACTCCTTCTCATTAGTTTCTTTTATAGGGCTTAGGTATCTTCTCTTTCCTTTTTCTGAGAACTCTTCATTGACTTCCTTTTCTATCTCCATGGACTCAAAGATATCCGTGGGTCTCTCTTTTAGGGCTGTTGTAAGGCTTCTGGTGGTGTAATACTGCTCCCGGAAAGCGTCAAGACGTGCACTATCAATCTTAGGAAGCTGCACTCGGCGTTGGGGTACTGTGTATCGATCGACACTGGCTGGAGTGTGTCAATCGATACTAGGGTCTTGGTGTCGATCGATGACAGTGTTATCATGTCGATCGATGAAATGGATGGGCGGATGTGGGTGACGTGTTGCGAAGGCGGCGTGAGACATAATCTTGACGAAATTGCACTTGCGAGGGTTTTCGTCTGAGTCTATTGATCGACACTCGTCAAAGTCTATCGATCGACGTACTAAAGGCGATATCGATCGATGTTGAGGTGGTGATATCGATCGATGTTGAGGTGGTGATATCGATCGATAGTGATCATAGGCAAAATATCTTTCACTCTCATCATCAGATCTCTGAATCTCTTCTACTACCTCTTGCCAAAATTCATCATCCAGGATGGCATTGATGTTCTGGTTGTCGGCAAACTCCTGCTTCTTAAGTGCTTCTCTTGTCTTAAACACTTGGGTCTCTAGCTTCTTCACATGGGTGCTGAGGGCATCTATCTTCGTGGTGAAGGTGGTGTAGACAGAATCGATCTTTCCATTGAAGTTTACCTCGAGCTTCTGCTGTCTCTCAAGTATCTTGTCTACCAACTCCTCCAGTTTAATATATTTTGTGGGTGGGTGTGGATTTGAGTCGAAAGCACTTCCATAGCTTCTGTTGTTGTTAGGGTTGCTGCTGCTGAAGTTGTTGAGCTTCTGGGAACTCTGGTTGAAGTTCCTTCTCTGGCCTGTAAAGTTTCTGTATCCTCCTTGGTTATCAGATCTCTGAAAACCAGCTCCACTAATCCAGTTGACATCTTCTTCAACAATGTCTGAATCTTCCACTGAACAAATCTGCTTGTTTAGGAGCTTCTGAATGTTGTCTAGCTGTGCTTGAACTTCATTGATGTACTCCTTCCCAATGGATGATGTAGTCTGCGTCACAGAGTTCTTTGTGCTGTTGCTGGAAGCCAAGTTATCAATTAGCTTGATAGCATTCTGCGGATTCCTGGGGGTGAAGTTGCCATCACTAGCTATATCAAGGGCTCTCTTGAAATCTGGGCTGATGCCTCTGTAGAAAGTGCAGAGCAGTTGCACTTTGTTGGATCCGTGGTGTGGGCAGTCTCGCTGGTAGGATTTGAATCTGTTCCAAGTATCCTTGAATGACTCTTCAGGGTGTTGGGTGAATGTAGCAATTTTCTTCCTTCAGTCTTCAGCGCGTGAATCATCAAAGAAATTACGCAGAAAAGCGTGCTTAATGTCACTCCAGGTGAGGGAACCTGGTGGTAGTTGTCTCAGCCACTGCAAAACTTCTCCAGATAGAGAGTACTTGAAAAGCTGGCAGAAAATTTAGTCTTGAGGGACTCCTTTTGCTTTGACTAGGGTTACAAGATCCTCGAACCTCTCAAAATGGTCCATAGGATGCTCATGGGACAAACCACAGAAAGGGATTTGTCCTACAAGTGTGTAGTACTGCGGCTTGAGCTCGAAATCTCCTCTCTGAATAGCAGGAGGGAGGATGACTGATCTGTTTGAATAGAACTGATCCGGACGGTTGAAGTCAGCCAAAGTTCTGGTCTCTTCTACAGGTTGAATGATGCATGTAGGTGCAGTGTCTTCTTCAGTAATGACCTCCTTCTGATCATTCAGCTTCTGACCTGCTGCATTTCGCAGGTGACCATCTTGATCACGCAGGTCTCCATTCTCATCGGGTATGAGAATCATAGGCGCTACCATGTCTCGCCAGTTAGTATCGATCGATATAGGGTGAGATGTATCGATCGATGTCAAGTGAAGGGTATCGGTCGACGAACGGTTGTTGACGTCGATCGATGAGATTGTAAGGGAGTCGGTCGACGAACGGCTGTTGATGTCGATCGATGGGATGGTGAGGGAATCGGTCGACGAACGGTTGTTGATCGTCGGTGGAAAGCGCGTATCGGTCGATAGAGAGGTGTTGGTATCGATCGATGTGGAGCGTAGGTCTTTGCGGATGCTACGTTCCAGATTGTTGGGATCTTCTGAGTACAAAAGTTGATTTTCCTTGTTACTTCTAGTACTGCTGGGCATGTACCTGAAAAAGACAAAAACAAAAAGAAAAATTGTGTCAAAAGATTGAAAAATAGAAAGTAACAAATAACCTAGACTGAATCAGATTAAATCTAATAGTAATCTTAGTTCCCCGGCAACGGCGCCTAATTTAATATCACTCAAATGTTTAACCCTAAGGAGTGAATTACTCTCTCAAATAAGAGATTCAATCGTAGTACTTAGGGATCGAATCCACAAGGAACTAGAGTCACAAAAGATATAATCCTAAGTGATTAAGCTAGGTTGATTATGTTTAAAACAATAAATAAAAGTTGGTAGCAATAGTAAGTTGCTAAGGAAAATGGTTTTTGGGTTTTAAAACAATAAAAGAAAGTAGCTAGATTCAAGGTTACTATTAAGAAAATCAGGATTATAAATCTATGGATGTCTTAACGAATTGCTTGCAAATATATGAGAACTTCAATCCTTAGACAAATCTATAGCTGTCGTTAGTTAGACTCGTCCATTGATCTGATTGCCGACAGTATCGATCGATGTTGCTATCACAGTGTCGATCGATATGTTTTGTCGTTGATCGATTACTCTATAGGAGTATCGATCGATATATCATCGGATCGAATTGAAACTGTGTTCACCCGAGAATTTCTATAAGACCGCCTATCGTACGTGCCTAATAGAGTCTGAGCTTAGCCAGATGATTTCAGGATAATGACTATTAGATTAGTCATTCCATAATCATACCTCTAGGTAGCTAATCTAGGGTAAGCATTAGGTTTATTTGAATAATGAATATAACAACTCAACACTTCATAGTTGGGGCTAATCCCTCATAACTATTTGAACCCTAAATCTAACAAATGAATCTACTTAGACATAGCCAAGTGATTCATAGCAAAAGAATAAGATGAAAAGAAAATACTTTATTGCTAAGTATAGAATAGATTACAAAACTTAGATAAAACTCAATATCCTTTAGAGTTCATAGGTATAACTATAAATATGAGTACAATTAGGTTAAAAACTCGCCAGAGGCAATCTTGTAATTTGGTGAGAACTTGGGCTTCAAGTCGGCCAAGTAAATCTTGCTCATCATGCTCTGTATCGATCGATGGTACATGGTGTACATCGATCGATGGAGTATCTCGACTTCAACTTCTACGGAAGCGTCATTGATCGATTACACAAGGTGTGTATCGATCGATATGTGTCTCTCATTGTCGGATCTTCATAGTCATCTTGGAAAACTCTCCTTTAAGCTCCATAAGGCACCTAAATTATCACTTTACTACAAAATGCTCCTAAACCTGAAAACATACCTAATAGACTCCAAAACATAGATAATTATCATAAAAACATATCAATACCATGACCAAAAACGGGTCAAAATCATGGTATATCACAATGGTTGTGGGTTAAGGGAGAGTGAGATGGCATCTCATTCCAACTCCTTTCTCCACCAGTTTCTTATGTTAGAATTCTAAAAAAAATATGGTTAGGCCAGTGAACAATAATTTGAATTGCTTGTCAGTCAAATTAAACCCTACAAATGTTCTATACACTTGTCACCTGTTTCCACTATCCTTCGACGATCCAATCTGAGTTCTTACATCGCAACTTTACCAGATCCTTTGGGCATTTTTTTTTATTCATCTGCAATTTATTTAGAGATGCGTTTTTATCTTTAAAGATCGAAAGATTTGATTCTACAAAATAATATGGTTAGGGGAATATTAGAAAGATTCGTATCATCTTGAACGTCCTTGAGTTGGTAGTAGTGAGGAGCTAACTCAATCAACCACTCTGGTTTCAATTCCATCACCTGCATTTTTGGATTATAAGTATACAAACATACCGGTGAATGATGAAACCCCAGAGATCCACTAATGATTAAACCCTGCAATGATGAAACATTAAATACCTGTCGCATGTATTCTTTGGAGGTTAGCACTAGTTCATGATAAACAATCCATTTTGGCAATACCTACAATAAGCATTTCGAGCAAAAAAAAAAAAAAAAAAAACTCATCAATATTCAAAGACTCTACAGATATTTTTGGTCTATGTATAGTGAGAACCTGAGATAATCCTAGTGAGAACCTGAGATAAGCCTGAATTGGGATGAATGTGCACTGTCTGGGGATGCTTCACAGTTCTATATGATCCATTCTTCTGCAGCTTTGCAGTGTGTGGGAAAAACCCTGATCGTTAAAAGCAAGGAGATCATTAGAAGAGGTGTGACATATATATGAACTCTCAAAAAAGAAAATGAGAGTAACGAGTAATCTACCAGCTACAATGGACTTCCTAACGGAATCCAATTAATTTAAGTTTGAGCTGATTTCTATTTCCACTCTCTCGAGAAGTACTTGTAACTAGTCACGGATATCTCTTGCTGTTTTCATGCTCCGTACCTGAATGTAGTTCTCATAGCACCACTGTGTAGAATAGTTTGTTTCCTTCCACGAACTGTATACCTTTACAGAACAACAAAAACGATAAAACATACAAAGATAGTGGAAAGAGAAAGCAAACGAGAAAGAGAAGGTTTTCAAACCTTTAGTAAAGCAATGTGGTCACCAACATTTCCAGTGTGAAAATTCATTCTTGCATTGTCAGCGTGAACCTGTTTGTTCTCGGGATGGTAGAAGATAGAGCCACCAACTGACAGCGTAGCGGCAATTGATATGATTTTATCAGAGCACTTGTACTTGTCAGAAACAACAATCATCTTCGACAACATCGGATCAAGGGGAAACTCTGCCATCCTTCTACCAGCTTTAGTCAATTCACCGAGCTTATTTAGAGCACCCAAAGCGAAGAGCAGCTCTAAATCCTTCACAAGTGCTTCAGCAGGTGGGGGGTCCATGAAATCAAAGTTTATGAGATCATGAATCCCAAGACTCTTCAAAGCAAGTACCACACTTGCAAGATTCGTCCTCTGTACTTCTGGTACCGTGTTTTCCTCCAATTCGTTCTTGTAATTAAACGCTGTGTACAGATGGTAACACTTCCTTGAGCTCGTCCTTCCAGCACGTTGATTTGCTGAAGCCTTCGAGATGGGAGTAATAAGAAAAGACTCCATCCACGTTCTCGGGTTGTATGATTTCATCTTGCTCAATCCAGGATCAAAAACATACTTTATACCATCAATCGTCAATGATGTTTCAGCAATGTTTTTTGCTAACACTAATTTCTGTGCCCCTTCTGGAGTTGGCTCAAATATCTTGGCTTGCACTTCACTTGGAAGGTTTGCGTAAATCGGGCATATAATTAATTCGCGTATCTTTGTACCCAAACCTCTTATCATGTGCTTCAAAATCTCTTCTACAGTTTCAATTTCTTCTTGACCAGTTAAGAAGACCAACATATCTCCAATTGGCTTCTCCCTCTGTAACAGAATGATTAGAACAGAGTAACAAATACAATCTAGAGTTCTCCAAAACTTAAGAAAGGGGAAATCTAACCTAGGAAGTGATTCAGGTGAATGACCACTCCGAAGGAATAAGATCTCTGGGATGCTGCTAGCTTGAGAGCTTATGCAATAGAGAGATAAAGATGGTGATAAGATGAAAATACTTTTCTGATTATTCTTCTGCCAATGCAGATGGTCAATACATAAAGGGAAAATCACTAACGGTCACAGACGACCCATTTGGTGACTCCGTAAAAGACAAAAGATAAGTGGGACAAAACCCAAAGTTTATTGGCCTTAAAATATGAAAAGCTAAACCAATAGCTAAACCGTATTGGTTTTGATAAATATAAGATGTGATCCTGTCACACTACTCCCCGTTTCAGAACATCCTTGTCCTCAAGGATCATAGTTTGGGTACCTGGAGATGAAGTCCTGGTAGAACTCCCAACTGGCTTGCTCTGGCGTGTAACCTTTCCAATGAACAAGGACCTTAGTCACTGCAGTGTTACGGTGTTTAACCATCTTCTTCTCGAGAATGCACTCCGATTCTTTAGCTGTGCCGAGGTCCTGACAATACTGAGGCAAGGCAGTGACATTAGCTGGTGGGTTCGGACAGAGCTTTAACTGACTCACATGGAATGTGTCGTGAATTGAAGCATCAGCAGGGAGAGCAAGCTTGTAAGCCACATAACCAACTTTCTCTAAGACTTGAAACGGACCATAGAAGCGCGGAGAGAGCTTGTGAGGCACGTTTCTGTTTTTGAGGGAATGTTGCTTATAAGGCTGGAGTTTCAAGTACACATGATCTCCCACCTGAAAAGCTCTGTGAGAACGATGAGAATCCGCGGATTGCTTCATGCGGTTCTGCGCTCTAAGCAAGTGAAATTTCAGCATGTTGATTATCTCCTCACGTCTCTGCAAACTCATGTCAACAACAGCAGACCAAATTTCACCAGGGAGGTAGGGTAAGTGAGTAGGAGGAGGTTGACCGTAGATGATCTCAAACGGTGTACACTTGATAGCAGAGTAATAGGTGGTGTTGTACCACCATTCGGCTAGGGGCAGCCACTTGCTCCAAGATTTAGGTGCTTCAGCTGTCATGCACCGCAGATAAGTCTCAAGTGTCTTGTTAGTCGCCTCTGTCTGACCATCTGGGGATGGTATGCGGTAGAGTGCTTCAAGTCTACACCCTGGACTCGGAACAATTCCTTCCAGACCTCGCTTAAAAACGTGGGGTCTCTGTCACTGACTATGTCTTTTGGCATACCGTGAAGCTTAAAGACGTTGTCTAAGTATGTCTGAGCGACCTCTATAGCAGTGTAGGGGTGAGCCAGTGCGATGAGTGGGCGTTCTTGCTCATCCTATCAACAACCACCATGATGCAATGTTTACCATTTGAGGAGGTAAACCTTCAATGAAATCCATACTTATGGACTCCCAAACACCACTAGGAACAAGTAAAGGCTGGAGAAGACCCGGTTTAGCAGCGAGATCGTTCTTGTTTTGCTGACAAACGGAGCAGTTCCGCACATAGCTTTGAATCTCCACATTCATACGAGGCCAGTAAAACAAGGATTTAATTCGCTGGACCGTAGCATCACGACCTGAGTGTCCCCCTATTGCAGAATCATGAAACCAACGCAGTATATGTAGCTTAGCCTCTGCATCATTACCCACTACTAGCTTACCTTTCCTTCTTAATTCCTCATTTGTGTAGGTATAAGCAGGGTGGGAATGGGTATCAGCTTTCAATGCCGCAATGAGTTTCTTCAGGTTAGGATCCGTCTCCCATAGCAGCTTTAAAGAGTCGTAGAAGCCATGATGGGATTGGGAAAGGGTGATGTGAAGGAGTTGAGAACCTGATACGCGTGACAAGGCATCGGCAGCAACGTTTTCTTTCCCTTGTTTGTATTGAATATCAAAGGAATAACCCATCAACTTCGATAACCACATATGCTGGAAAGGTGTTGTTATCTTCTGCTCCATCAGGTACTTCAAGCTTTTTTGATCCGTTTTTATAACGAAGGATCGGTGTGCTAAATAAGCGTTCCAGGTCTGCACAGCATGTACCACGGCAAGAAGTTCTTTCTCGTAGACAGATAAGGACTGATGTCGCGGGCCAAGAGCTCTACTAATGTAGCAAATGGGGTGGTTATCCTGCATTAACACCGCCCCTATACCAGTGTTTGACGCGTCTGTTTCCACTGTGAAAGTCTTGTTGAAGCCAGGCAGTGCCAAAACCGGTGTAGTGGTGAGTGCAGACTTTAACGCAAGGAAAGATACGTCTGTTTCGGGATCCCAAACAAAACCATCTTTCTTTAGGAGATTTGTCAAAGTCTGGCTAGAATGCTGTAACCTTTGATGAATCTGTGGTAGTAGTTCGCGAGGACAAGGAAACTACGAAGCTGCTTTTGAGTCTTGGGAAGAGGCCACTGTTTGATAGTGTCAATCTTTGTTGGATCGGTACTGACTCCTTCTCCAGAAATGAAATGGCCCAAGTATTCGATGACAGTAGCTCCAAAAGTGTATTTCGACGGCTTGAGGAAGAGTTGTTCCTGTTGCAGCAGTTGGAACACTTCACGGAGATGTTGCAAATGATCATCCCAGCAAGAACTGTAGACCACTATGTCATCGAAGAAGACAAGGAGGAACTTGCGTAAGACCCTTCAAAGACCTTGTTCATCAAACTCTGAAATGTGCACGGAGCGTTGGTGAGGCCGAAGGGCATCACGAGGTATTCATAATGGCCGGAGTGGGTTTTGAAGGCTGTCTTGTACACATCTGTAGGAGCCATACGAAGCTGATGGAATCCTGCTCGTAAGTCTAATTTGGAGAAGAACTTAGCACCACCTAACTTATCAAGTAAGTCCTCAAGAAGTGGGATGGGGTACTTATCCTTGATGGTTTGCTTGTTCAACCCTCTGAAGTCGACGCATAATCTCCACGACCCGTCCTTTTTTTTGACCAAAACCACTGGAGAAGCGTAAGGACTTGTGCTACTTTGAATTATACCCTGATCCAACATGTCACGGATCATTTTGTCAATGACATCTTTTTGGAGCGTAGAGTATCTGTATGGTCTCAAGTTGATGGGGTTAGCACCGGATTCAAGTGGTATCTTGTGGTTGTAGCCTTCACGGAAAGGGGGAATTTCAGAAGGTTCTTCAAAAAGGACAGAGAAATCTTCTAGGAGAGCCTGTAACGCTGTATATGTTTCCTTTCCACTGCTTGGAGCAGAAATGTGGGAGAGGAGTGTACACTCGGAGTAGCTTTGGAGAGGGACCTCTTCGATATCCCGTACCTGAAGCAAAGCTATTTGTGGGTTTCGTTGCATCAGTTTGTTTAGGTCACCACCTTTGATTACTTTGCAGCCGTTCTTAGTAACTCCTCGCAACACATTTTTCTGACCGTTTAGTGTGAACTCCATTCGTGGATTGAGGAAGTCCCATAGGATATGACCTAATGTTGATAGCCATTGCACGCCCAACACCAAGTCACAGGAGTCGAGAGGTAGAGTTCTGATCTCAGAGGTGTAGGAATATCCCTGTACCTTCCAAGAAAAGGCATTGCATTTATAGCGGGTGAGTAAAGTGCTACCACAGGCTCCTGTTACTGCCATTGGTTTGGTCTTCTCCAGTAGGCATCCCAACTCATTAGCTACCATGAGATCCAAGAAATTATGTGTGCTTCCGTTATCTATCAGTATGTAGAGTTTTCTTTTTCCACATTGACCGATAACCCTCATACAATTGAATGTAGAAGAGCCATTAAGAGCATTGACTGAAATCACCGGTGGGGTTTCTTCAGTTTTATCAACGTCGTTAGTTGTCTAGTCTTCTATCTCAGCGTCTGAATCAGAGGAGAGCTCATCGTCACACTCCATGACGAAGATTTGTGAGCGTCTGTGTTTGGCGTTATGACCAGCCGTGTAGACCTCGTCGCAGAACATACAGAGTCCTTTGGCACGTCTATCCTGCATCTCCTGGTAAGTAAATTTGTGTGGTTGTTTATCAGGGTTGGTTGGTGTTTGGTTAGGTTTAGGTTGAGGTTTCTGGTTGGTAGGGGTTGGGAGGAGGGGAGGGTTGTTTGTGGGTTTAGAGGATTGGTTTTGGGTGTACTTGTGGTTAGGATTGAAGGGAGGTCTAGAGTTTTTGTTGGGTGTGTGAAGGAGGGAAGACTCGTGTAACATGGCTATCTTAGCAGCACCGTCAATAGTTGTGAACTCAAACTGTCTAGTATGGAGTGCAAGGTGAGTGTTCATGTTTGCGAGGAATATGCTAAGGGCGTGGGCCTCTAGAAGAGGGAGTCTCATTCGAGCAGTCTCAAACTTATCCAAGTAGTCGACTATCGAATCAGTGCTCTGTTTCAGTGCTACTAACTCTGCTAAAGGGTTATCGTACAGCTAACTGAAACAACCAGAGATAGCAACAACATATTCAGTCCAGGAAGGGTACATACCATAGAGTGTACTCATGAAGTTGCGGTGCCATTGACTTGCTTTTTCAACAAGATGTAAAGCAGCTAGATGAACCTTAAGCTCTGGGGGGTAGCATCAAGGTCGAAAAACTCCTCACATTTAGAGATCCAGTCTCGAAGTTGTGTACCATCAAAAGAGGGAAACTTTATCTTCGCGAGGCGGGAGGTCAGGGTGTTGTACGCAGGGGTAGTGCGCAGAGGTTCGAGTCGAGTGGTTTGGCGGTTCAGATCTGGTGGGTCAGCAGGATGGGTGGGGTGTGTGGGGGTTTGGGTTAAGGGACAAGGGGTTTGGTTCAAGGGAGAGGGAGGTACGGAAGGGCCAGGGTCTAACGGAGCTTTTCCGGCGGCCTGAATCTGAGCGTTGTGTTGGAACATCAGAGCTTCCAGTCTATCAAATCGGGAGTCGAAGGAAGCTGGCTGAGATTTTAGGTCTTCGGCGAGGCGTTGATAGGATGAACGGAACTCGTCGACTTGTTCGGATAAAGAACACTCTTGGAGTCTTGTTTCAACCATCGTTGAAGTCCGAGGATCGAGAGACTACTGATACCAATGTAACAGAATGATTAGAACAGAGTAACAAATCCAATCTAGAGTTCTCCAAGAACTTAAGAAAGGGGAAATCTAACCTAGGAAGTGATTCAGGTGAATGACCACTCCGAAGGAATAAGATCTCTGGGATGCTGCTAGCTTGAGAGCTTACGCAATAGAGAGATGAAGATGGTGACAAGATAAAAATACTTTTCTGATTATTCTTCTTCCAATGCAGATGGTCAATACATAAAGGGAAAATCACTAACGGTCACAGACGACCCATTTGGTGACTCCGTAAAAGACAAAAGACAAGTGGGACAAAACCCAAAGTTTATTGGCCATAAAATATGAAAAGCTAAACCAATAGCTAAACCATATTGGTTTTGATAAAGATAAGATGTGATCCTGTCACACCCTCACATGTATCGTAAGCAAAGTAACTATTGCTGCGTCCATGTAATCAGCTTCAGGTGCACTTGTAAAGTTAATGTCAACTGGATACCTTCTTCCTGGGAAACTAAAGATCGGGGCTGTATCAAATTAATCTGACAACTTTTCTGCATCCATTGTTGCACTAAATATCAACAACTTCAAATCATGTCTAAACCGTGCTATATCCTATCAGATAAAACAAAAATCCAAATCAGAATTTATCCAATGATCTAAGCCATGATTACACAAACAAGTAAGAATATCCAGTTGCCTTAACTAATCCAAACAATATATCGGTCGACAAGGTTCTCTCATGCGCCTCATCGACAATGATGACACTGAAAAGTTTGCTATTAATAAGCATAAAGCTTTAGATGTTCAGTAATAAAAATTAAAAAATATAAAAGAATCTTCATTACCTGTAGCTGGCCAGATCTGGTTCACCAAGCAGCTCAAGCAAAAGCATTCCATCTGTCTCCCACCAAAAAAAAAAGCATTCCATCTGTCATATACTTCAGAACAGTTTTGTCTGAGGTACATTCCTCAAATCGAATTGAATAGCCAACCTGCGACAAGCAGCAACAAACCACATTTTAGATTCTACGAGTGAACTGATAATTGCCTGACAATCAACTAATAGCAGCAAAGGACAAAAAGAAGTAAACATACCTCATGTCCGAGTTTGACACCCATCTCTTGAGCCACACGGGCATCAACACTCATAGCTGCAACTCATCGGGGCTGCGGACAGCCAACCTGAAATATAGTAGAAAAGCATTATGGTACTTTACTTTATAAAGGAACTGCTTCACCACCCGCTCTATACTTCTGAATCCATTCAACAACAAAGTCATGAACAAAGGCAAGTTTTTCCTAAATAAAGCTACTCCCTTTATATGGCACAGACATCTTAAAAATAAGGATCCCTAAGTTCATTCTCAACAAGATAACAGCTCACAACTAAGGACTAATACACCAATCTGTTAATGATATCTACAACAGATCATTTTTGACGGTCTATAAAAGTCTAACTCTATGCTGCAATTCTGGTAAGGAGCAGGTTTGTACCTTTCCGCGCTTTGTGTAACCAGTTTCATGGAGATATTGTGGTATTTGTGTGGTTCCTGAACCAGTGTCTCCTACAATGACAAGAACCTAATAAGTTCAAAAAAAGTGAAAGAAGGTTTCAAATTTCAATTACATGTAACAGAGGAAACCATAACAAACAAAAAATTCTATAAAAAGTTCTCCATATTTCATAGTCAAAACTTTGGATCCATATCTTCCTCTGTACAAGACACTGAAATTTGATGCTTTCTTTAATTCAGAAATGTTTCCTCTGTTGGTCAACTTACAGATACGCAAATGTTATATCAGAAATATATTTTTCCACTAGGTTGGTAAAATATGTTTATCCTTTGTTATTTGATGATTTTTCATATTACTAACATTTTCTTTTGAAATCTGGAGGTTGCAGTATGTAAACTAAAGGGAATGGCATGAGACCTAGAATCACCTGATTCTCTTCCACCGCCTGAATTAGTTGCTCACAGCACGGGTAAATAAGACGGTCTTGTCTTGGTGGAGTCCTTCCATCGCTGATCAAATAACATTTAGTTCTCCCTCATGATCGATGGCCCTCTTCTTCTGGATTTTCTTCAGACTAATTGCGTGATCCATTTCCTGGAGAGCCTTCTCAGACACAGTATGCAGCTCCTCCCACATCTGAGCGATCTATTTGTCCCAAGACATGACCTTCTTCTCGGCATTTCCCAACTGGGCAAACGTCTTCTTCATCATTGAGTCGTACTTCTGCACCAGAAAATTGTAGCTCTCGTCTCTCTGCAGGAAAGGACGAAATTACTTAGTACCACGAAGCTGTAGGAATAAAGGAGGGGAAATGAAATTAACACCACTTACCAGCAATTTGGTTCGGGCAGCATCGACGTAGGCATCGTTAAACACCAAGTCGTCAATGTCGGCATGTCGTTCGGCCCACCTCTGGTTTGACAAACCAGCTCGGCACACTTGGCATTCTCATAAAGAAGCAGAGTGTCCCCGTCATAGGTAAACTGAACATGATCGAGAAATACACATGGGGCCTCCGAGAAAAGGCGTCCCCTGAACTCTTGATGGTGTGTCGAGCTGTTTGAGAAGCAAAATCTTCCAGCGGGACGTCTGTCTCTTGAGCGCCTAAAACTCCACAAATCTGCGCCTCCTGGTCCGCGATGGGATTCGTCTTTATTTTTCTTTTTCTTTTACTCGGAAAGAACTTTTGGCGAGGCTTTCTCTTGATCGGTCATGGAAACTAGGTCCACGTGACCTTCTGTCAGCATCGCGGGTTCACTCCCCGAGCCCTCATGAACGGTGGTTTCTTGGATTACAACCTCCCCACTGAGCTACAACCGTTTCTCGACCGGCTTCTTCTTCTTCTTCTTCTTCTTCTTCTTCTTCTTCTTCTTCTTCTTCTTCTTCTTCTTCTTCTTCTTCTTCTTCTTCTTCTTCTTCTTCTTCTTCTTCTTCTTCTTCTTCTTCTTCTTCTTCTCCTTCTCCTTCTTTTTCTTATGATGTTCTTCTGACTGCGTTCTCTCGGCAGCCTCGGGCACGCCCTATTGAACTTCAGGACGGATGGATCGTGTCACGTGCTCTTTTTAGTTTCTTTTTTGCCCTGAAGGTCTCCACACCAAGGTTTAAGACCTCTTTACTGGTGGTTTCAGGAACTATCTCAGATCGAGGGTCTACGAGTTCCGATGCGTCCAAACCCATCTCATTGAGCATCAACATAAAGCATACGAGAGACAACCCCAAATAGTTTTCAAAGATAACGCTAAGATCCGGTAATGCTTTCATCTTTCTGGCCTCTTTCACCTGTTCTCTTGTCGTGAGATGAGATCTTTTACTGGTGACGACGTAGGCATGCAAGTTAGAGATCCAATCACTTGTGAGAAACGATGAAACAAAAGCAAACCAAGACTTGGCGACAAAAAGAAGGTAGAAGAGAGAAAGTTCGTAGGTGGGCTAACGTTGGTAATGGCGATTCAAATCCCGAAGAATTCTCTATTCGCTTATCTTGGGCCAACGTTGGTGACTTAGTGCGGCTAAAGCTCGAGCGTTGTTAAAAATTATCTTATGGGTAATTGATCGTATTCGGATGGTCAACTGCATGAAAAAAAAGAAACGAATAAAACCACAGCAAAAGATGTTTAGTCGGAAACAGCGATCTACCAATACGCTAATTCCTAAAAACTCAGAAGTCGTTGTTCGGTGGCTCTTCAAACGCAGATTCATCGGATTTAACGTAAAGGCTTATTTGGATGACCGGTGATTATGTTGTAGTTCGGCCGCATATTTACCTAGTACAGACCATATGGCATGGCCTTTATGAAGCCATCTCCTCGAAAGTCCACATGCTTAACGATATGTATATCTCAGCTGCCATCACCATCATCGCGATTGCGATACGGAAGGAGCCATTTAGAAACTGACTAGTGTCCATATCCGGACGAAAAACATATGATGTAATTAGTCGGGGAAAATGGGAAACCAAAGTTTGGTATCCGCCTAAAAATATGCATGGTTATGTTTTCTATGCCATCGTATATGTCTATGGGGCCTGATGGCTTCCCTTGCGTGTTCTTCAAAACTAGTTGGACTATTCTAGGCCGCGACTTTGTTTTGAAGTCCAGTCAGTTATCAAATTTGGTTTCCTTCCCAAAGGAATGAATTCTACTATTATAGCTCTTGTTTCCAAAAAATCTGACTTGCTGGAGATGAGGGACTGTAGACACATAGCTTGCTGCAATGTCTTATACAAGGTGGTGTCTAAGATATTAACTAATCAGTTAAAGGGATTCTTCCAAGAATTATCACCAAGAATCAGTCAGCATTTTTGAAAGAAAGGTTATTGATGGAATATTTTATTGGCTTTGGATGTTGTAAATGATTACCACAAAGAAGTTGTTACCCCTAGACGTGTGATGAAGATAGATCTCTCGAAGGCGTTTGATTATGTTCAATGGTCTTATGTGTTAAAGAGTTTGATGGCATTAGGGATACCAGAGAAATTCATTCATAGTATAAGGTTGTGTATTACCACGACCTCATTCCCGGTCCAAGTCAATGGGGATCTAGCTGGTTACTTTCAAAGTACTAGAGGATTGAGACAGGGATGCTCACTTTCTCTACTTGTTTGTGCTATGCATGAATGTTCTTAATTCTCAAAAAAATGATAAAGCTATGTAGGAAAGAAAATTCAAGTTTCATCTGCGTTGTAAAGCTCTGTCTCTCACACATCTTTGTTTTGCGGAGGATCTAATGGTTTTTGTAGAAGGGAAAAGAGAGTATATTGAGGGGGCTCTCTTTTTTTTTTGATGAATTTTCTGTTTGGTTAGGATTAAGCATAAGTCTTGAGAAATCCACTTTGTGTATATGGCTGCCGTTCCGATATAGAGAGGAGCAAAATTCTGATTAACTTCCCGTTAGTAGTAAGTGATTTTCTGGTTCGTTATTTAGGCCTCCCACTAATGTCTCCGTCGAGGAGGAAGCAAGAATATTTACTTTTGGTAGAAAAAAATCAGAAGCAAGATAAACACTTCGACATGTAGGTTCATATCTATGATGGAAGACTTCAGTTGATAAAAACAGTTTTAATGAGTGTTGTAACTTTTGGGCAGCTATTTTTGGGCTTCCAAGTAAGTGTATGAAAGAGATTGAATAGCTCTGCTTTACATTCTTTTGGTCTAGCCCATAATTAAAATCTACAGGCGCAAAAGTTGCTTGGGGAGATATCTGCAAGGCTAGAGATGAAGGTGGGTTGGGGATACGACCTCTTAAAGAAGTCAATATAGTTTATGGGTTGAAGCTCATAGAAAATGTTATCTGGAGAGTCATTGTGCGGCAAATGGATAAAGATAAATCTACTAAACCAGATAACATTCTTGGTAATAAAAACAAAAACTCAAGTGGGCTCTTGGATGTGTAGGAAGATGCTGAAACTAAGAGAAGTTGCAAAGACTTTTCACGGAAAAGAAGTAGGAAATGATCGCAATATTTCCTTATGGTATGATAAAGGTGCGCTTTCAGATATTTTGGGTGATAGGAAATCATTTGTATGGGAATTTGATATACCATGGTTTTGACCCACTTTTAGCCATGGTATTAATTTGTTTTTATAATATTTATATATATTTTGGAGTCTATTAGGTATGTTTTCAGGTTCAGGAGCATTGTGGAGTAAAGTGATGATTTAGGTGCCCTTATGGAGCTTAAATGAGAGTTTTCCGAGATGACTATGAAGATCAGACAACAAGGATACATATCGATTGTTACATATCCTGTGTAATCGATCGATGACGTTTCTATAGAAGAAGAAGTCGAGATAATCCATCGATCGATGTACACCATGTACCATCGATCGATATCAAGCATGGAGAACAAGTCTGACTTGGCCGACTTGAAGCCCAAGTTTTCCCAATATTACAAGATTGCCCCTGACGAGTTTTTAACCTAATAGAACTCATATTTATAGTTATGCCTATGTGTTTTGGCAAAGTGTGTGTTTTATGCTTTTTGTGCTTTGGTGTTTTTGATACTATTTTATACTTAGCAATAAAGTAATCTGTTCATCTTAATTCTCAAAGGTTATAGAATTCTAGATTTAGAAGAAACACACAAAGAGATTTGTTGTTCCAAAGAACCAAGAGTTCAATCTTCTAATCTTATGA